AGAAATCCCCTGGTGGTCTCACTTGCTATTTCAACAGCCAGTATCAAGGCCACTGACTTAAACTGGGAATGGGGAACCTTAGATAAACCAGATATGGGTGGGCCTACTATTTCCATTATGACTCACCATGAACACGCCTGGCTAGAGCTAAAGGCACCTGGAGAATAGTAATATATGGAAGACCACTGTTTCTCCAGCCTTGACTTCCAAAATACTCTCAAAATCTGATTCTGACATGGGAAAAACAGAAGCATTATAGGAGGCTTCTGACATGAAGGTGAAATCGCTTTGGACAGATGACAGGCTAAACCATGCCGAATTCTGTCAGAGTGGGTGCAGTGAGGTATCTCAATACACTTTAGGGCAGGGGTCACTATGGCTACACATCTACAGTATGGTTTCAGAAGATGAATAAATTCTTCCTAAAAAGAAATAACCTTCTGTCAGCAATGCTTATGAATTGCAGGGCACAGGGGATGCAGGATGGGTGCCTGATAGAATGCAGACCTGAGACGTAACATTATTCAAAATTGTATTGGCTTGCAGAAACTATTCAACAAAGCACAAAACCACATATCCAACCTCTTAAAGAATACCTCATTTAAACAGCCTCATTGGAGAACTAGGAATGTGACTACACAGTGAGGAAAACCCACTTCTATCTACATTTCTTGAAATCAGGTGCCAGCTGGTTTCAGCAGGTGAAATCACTGTAGCTGTTCAAATGTATTGCAGGAGTCAGTAGGGACAGAGGCAGAAAGCAGTGAAATATCGGCCATTTCCACTGGGATCACCCTTTCTTTTTGCCTCTTTTTTTAGCTTAAGGAAGTGACATGGCGCTAATTTGTTACAGCGCTAATTTTGGAAAGCATTAAAGAAAAAAAAAGGAACATTGTTTGGAGACCATAGGTGCACAGTTGAGGAGAACTGACACCCTTGCAACCGCCCCTTTGTATTAGTTCAGGCAATCACACAGGGCAGAAAGCTGAGAAAAAGCAGTGCCAGCCCAGCCAGAGCAAAATAAGACCACTGTGGCACCTGAACAAAAAAAGATGATTCCCCACTGAAAAGAAATTATTCCCCACTGGGCTTTCCTGGGCTTAGTTTCATATTGTGTAGTTGCTGTTTTTAAATTCAGTTTCATTCATGTAAAAACTGATGCAAACTATAGTATAAATGGCCAAGGTAGTTCCCCCATAAGTATCATTCTGTTGAAATTGCCAAATGTCTCTGTGCCATCCTAACTACAATGGAAAGTCTTCTGAGTGAGCTAGACAGGAAGTCCATTGCACACAAAAAGGTGATGTACAAAGCCTGCACTGCTGAGGGTCATCCTAGGATGAAGGCTATCAAAAGGGGCGATATCAACAAGCAGGCGGCACCACCAAGAGGCTGCAAAAGGAAAGCCAATTACAGCACCACATCCAGCACTAAGGGGAGGGGGTCAGGCAACGATGCTGTGGTAGAGGTTACTGTGTCCTCCCCAACTCTGCCACTTGGGTTTTAGCACACAGTTGCTGTTACCTTTTGGACATCGTTATTCTTGACAGCATCTATCAAAGCATCATCTGCAAGGAGGAGAGACAGGTCAGGGTTACAAAACCAAGCAGGAGGTGAGGAGGAGGTGTGGAGGGAAGATGGGGCAATTTAGGTCAAAGAAACAACAACTCATGGTCTGACCACCACTTTTACTGGAGACAGGGATTAGCTAAAAAATCCAAGTAAATGTCTGTCTCCTAAAGAGCTCTGGGGAAACTGCCTGTGATTTAATTTGCTGAATATCATGTCTAGACAGTATGGGACGGTTGTGTGCTATTATAGAATATCCTATAGCATGAAAGTAGCATGACTTATACTATCCCAGGGTTTGATTAGAAACCTTAGTTTCACTTTCTCTTTATGTTCCAAAGTTCTTCTCAAGAGCCACTCTCTCGTTATTTATAAACTGATTGTAAATAGGAAGGAAGAAGAGTGCAGAAGTCCATATGTACACTCTCCCTATATGGAATGTGCATTTTTGAAGAATTTCTTGATCTTCTTGGGCTCCCAGATACGTCTTTTCCTCTTTTGCTTTCAAGCCTTATTTTATCCACTGAGGAGAAGTAAGAGTTACCACAGGGGCTTGGAAGGGACCAAAAGCAGAGTTCACAGCTTCGTTTCAATGCATCCCCAGGCTATGGGGAATCATGAAATCAGCTATGAAGGGAAACCAGAAGGATACCAGGGAAAAATCAAGACTGCTTCATGAGGGGAAAAAGGAAGGAGAGGAATGTTCAAGCAGAGAAGAGAAATTTGGCAAGGATGGCTTCAAATTCATAGGGAAATGGATGGACAACATGAAGAGGTAAAGCAGAGAAGGTGAGCAAAGAATGTGGAAAGCAGGTGTTCCCAAGGAGACATTGGTTAAGGATAGCTTGCCCTGGTCATTCATTCATACTTTCAGGAATCCATCTCTGCTCAAACTCCAGGAAACACTTTCCATTTGCTCAATCAAGGGAGGCCTGTGACCTTGCATACAAATACCTCAAGGAATCCTTAGTGGTGCCTGGTAGAGACAGGCTCTGCTCCCTATATCCATACTTCTCAGTGCTCTCCAGGTGGGAGATTAACCCTTCACCACTGTGGTATTTCCTGCCAAATTTTATAAATGAGCTGAGGAAACTTGTTAAGCCAATGAACGTCAGATTACACCCTGTTAGTCATTCTTGCAGCTGCTCCCCGGAAGGAATTCTCTAACCAGGCCTCAGTAGCACTCAGTACATGTGACATAAAGGTTGGGAGACCTTTTGCCTTCCAGATGTTTTGGACTACGTCTCCCACAGTCCCTTGCCACTGGCCATGCTGAGTTGGGGGAAATTAAGCAGCTGTAGGCCAGAACATATGAAAGGCTTCCTCAGCCATGTATTATAGCATGGAGCAGGGAACTAAGTTACCAAGTACAATGTACATCTCCACCTTGACCTCTTGTCTCTCCCTGTAGCCTCAGCAAGAAACATATCCAACTATAGCCTATTTAAAGCTAAAAGGCGATTCCATGTAAAGTTGTACTGTTTCCATATTTGGCCCAGCTGCAATTGATCTTCTAAGGTTTTATTCACACAAGCATTGTAACGCAAGCACCACTGCCACAAGGTTTTTTTCTATCAGTTTGCATATTCAGATATATTTTACTACAGACACTGCAGTATGATTTTCCATTTCTGAAGTCCAAGGATTATACCAGCAAGTGTTGATGTCAGCTTTCTGAATAATTAGATGTTAATCCCAGACAATTTAAGCTGGATAAGATATGTTTGACTAGGAATGGCTATGAAAGCAGCCACCATATTCTGACAAGCCAACTCAGTTATTCTGGAGGACCGCATGCATTTGAACAGTAAGTGAAATTGTGGCAAATCACCCTTCCTCTCCTCCAGGAATTACATGAACATCCCTGGATTAATGTAGAGAAGAGCCTGTGGGATCGATGCTGCATAAAATCTGCAGACATACACTAAGATGCATTATGCATATATCCAAATCTCATGTTTTACAGAGACTAAAGTATTCTTAGGTTCAGGGACTGAAGGAGAGAGAAAGTGCAAACCATTATAGAAAACTAGTGTTAATACTGATGACCTAATAAGAGTTAGAGAAAATATGATGGGAGGTCATACTCACCTTGGAGAGAGTGACAGCTCCCCATTTCTGAGCTAGAAGAAAAAAATAAAGACAAGTTTCAAAGCTAAGTGTTAATGTCATTCCTGAAGTGTCTCCTCCTGCCTGTTGAATCCCCACTCCTATTCCTGATAAACTCTCTCCATCTGCCAAGCTTGAAAGGACTAGGAATAGAACAGGCCCAGACTTTTTTTCTGCTGTACTTGTGTGATGGAATGAAAATCCAACAAGGCAGCAGTGAATTCATGTTTTAGCTCTGTTGCTTACTTTGCTCCATTAAACTAGATCTGTTTACTGATGCCTTCGCTTCCTACATCTGCGTTCTAGCCACTTTGGAGTCCAGGCTTGTTATTCCCTTAAATTTACCAGCCTATACTCCTGAGTTGGTTGCCATTCCATGATGATTAAAACAGAGGTACTAATGTATAGATAAGGGATGGGCAACTTCCAAGGCTCCAGATGCCCTAGTGCATATGCAGGGCTGTGCAAGTTCCTGCAAACCCCACCATCCACAAAAACTATTCAACATAAGAATGGGTAATTTGACAAAAGGAAAAAAAATGCCCCATGTGCCCTCTGGTACCCTCTTTTTAATATTAAAACATCGGAGGGGTGGGGAGGGGCTATAGGGGTGATGAGGATTCAAAATACGGCAACATTACCCTCATGCTCTTTAAAGGACAAAAGGGATTCTCTGAGAAAAATGTTTCAAATTTTTTTAATTTTTGAGATTTGAAGAGTATTGGGAGGATCTCAGAGGTGCTGAGGGATGCCTGCTGCCCACAGACTGCACACTGCCTGCAACGGATACAGATGTTTCATCACTAAGGGACAGAAGCCAATGCTTAGGGAGAAAAGCCGTTCATTCCCAAGTATTCTCTCCACTCCATTTTAATCAGAGAGCAAATGGAAGAGGAAGAGTCAAAGCACACAGATGTTAACTTAGATCCTCTGTCCTGCCCCAATTCTTCCTTGGGGTCCTGCCTTTAACCTAGCCTGGTCTTCCTTACCTCCAGGCCCCAAGCACACAGCCTCACCTGGAGACTGGTGTGGATGATGGAGAAACTGGGTGATCAGGATGTTGACTTGTGGGTGTTGAGGGCACATCGACAAGGTCAGGCATGGCAGGTGATGTGCCCACTGTTTGGGTGCGCACCAGTTCTGGGTCCAACACAAAGAGCTCATCCTGGGAGATCTCTGTCACGTAATTAAGATGTTCCTGAAAAAGGTACAAGTCAATCGTTTATTTACACTGTATGAGCCACCTGCAGTCAAATGTAATGGGCTACAACTCTCAGCACCCCCAAGATGTAGATGACTGCACAATCCTCAGGATGGAGTAGACTGCACCTTAAAACAGGCAACATTTTGACCTCCATTTCCAGAAATTCACAATATAGGCCTTGAAACAATCACTTGAACAGAATCCTCAGAAACTTAATTTTCCCACTTGTAAAGAAGCTGTATTTTGATCCCAGATGCAGTGGTGGGAAAAGCTTCAAATATATGAAAAAAAATACTATAAGTTGTTCTATATGTACAGGATGACTGTCTACAGAATCGAAAAGAGGGATTCCACTACATGTCTTAGATAGTTCCAGTTCTGCTTATACATCATCTCATATATTCAGCTCTGCTATGTACCTGACCAGGACAACCAATCATACTTTCCTAATCCTCAACAATAAAGTAGTAAGTAAAGCAGACTATTTCAGTTTTTACATTAAAATCCCAGAAAATTATGGAAAAAATAATACTTTGTCTTTTAATATTGCAGATCTGAGATGTTTGACTTTTATTGCTGTTGTCACTGTTGTTCAAACATTCAGGGGTCCAGGTGTCTTGAGGGTAAGAGGCTTAAATCCCACCCAACTATTACAAATATAGTACACTAATGCTACAAATAAACTTTGTGCTTCACTGGAGACAGTAACTAATTACTTTTATTTTAGACCTCAAACAAGCACACATAAAGTTTCATAAGCCTTCCCTGTTGCCAGAGCATTGTTCTCAAGACCCACAGCAACATGCTGCAGCAAACATTTTTCCACCCAAGTGGATCAAGAAGAAAAGGAAATGGAAAGAAAGGTCTAGGAATTTTTGATGACAGGAAACAAGTATCTCTGACTTCAAGACTGAAACTCTTTATTCAATAAATTATAATCACAGGGCTTGAGACATTCTAAAGGAAATGAAAACCAAAATGTAAGCAGCACACACAGCTATTTCTACAGGGAGCATGCAGACAATCTCAGAGTACACAGACTCTGAGGAAGAAACCAGAGCTCACCTGGGCACGGTCTATTCTGTAAAAGCGATCTGCTGTAGTTGCTGCAAGAAAAAGAGGGAAAAATACTTTTTCATATAGTGCTTTAGCGTATTTAAATACTTTATATACATTTCTGCAGTAATTCTTACTACACCCCTTTGAAATACAGTGGTGCCTTGCAAGACTATTTTAATTCATTCAGTGATAATCGTCATCTTGTGAAAAAAATCATCTTGCGAGGTTCCTATGGGAACTTCGCAAGACAAATGAAATGTATTTGTCTTGCGAAGCATCGGGCTAAAAAAAAAGTCTTGCGAAGCACGGTCATAGGAAAAAATGTCTTGCAAAGCACCATAGGGATCACGAAAACCAATTGTCTTGCGGGTTTTTCGCCCCACGAGGCAATCATCTTGCGAGGCACCACTGTATAGCAAAATAGAGAGATGAGGCAGAGAGAACAGTTGTGTGCTTAAAAGGTATCTATGTAGTGAGTTCATGGCTGAAGGCAGTTTTAAAGCACAGATGCTCCCTGGTTCATAACTTATTTTTTTAGCCACCCTCAAAGCAATTCACGTAAACAACTAGAAAGGAAGAAGTCATGGAATTATATTACTATTACTATTACTACTACTACTATTATTATAATA